AAAGTTCTTAAGAAAGGTTACGAAAGAAGGAAATTGTGGAATCTACAGGACGTAACATATGAATAAACTCGTCAATGCTCTACTTTTCTTGCGATTTTTCCCGATCGACTGGCTTCGTATATCGCTATAGGCCCTATAGGCACGACGGTATCATAAAGAACGATAGAGCGTACGGGCTTCCTATTGTCGAGCCTGTAACGAGGGGCAATTTTTGTAGCGGCGAACAATATGTCGCATTAACGTATATTGTGCTAGCGCGACATCGACCAGCTGATGCTGTCATGCGACACGCCGGTATCGCAATTCGCGACGCTCTGCGATTTGCATCTTGTGAAAAGGCGAATTCCAATGTATTCGAGCCGCGGAATCTAGGACATTTTTATCATCGTTACTCGCACGACCCGGAAATCTAAGCTGTACAAGCGGAGCATCGGATCACGGGGAGAAATGATTTTTACACAATACACTGAAATTGCAAAATTTCAAAGGTCGCTTTATAGATTAGCTGAACAAAAATTAAAATAAAAAGACAAACATACTCTCTAAAAGTCGAAGAGTGAAATATCACTTGAAACGAGTGAAATGCAAGTGTAACGAAAAGTGAAAATTGAGTTTTTGTGCACTTTGTCACTCTAAGAAGGAGTTAAATTGCACTTTATAAGTTGGAGTGAAATCGCACTTTATTTGAGTGAAGGGGCACTCTTTTCGAATGCAGCAGATCAATGTCCAGGAGTGAATTGCGTCACTCTACAATTTTGAGTGGAAAACTTCACTTTGTTAGAGTCATTTATGAGTTGATGTTTATACATATATAGTGAATCATGATTCATTTAGGGTGAGAGGCATATCACTTCGGTAGAGTAGCCGCTCTAAAAATTTGAGTGAAAAATTCTCCTACCTTATGAGTACCCGCATTTACTCAAATTAGAGTGACAACTCTCTCTTTTGGAGTGATTATCGTAATCACTTTAATATATTAGTAGTGAAACCACTCTATGAGATTTAGAGAGTATTGTACGCTTAATAATAGCAAAGCTAAAATATGAAGGCTATACGGCCAATTTTCGAGCAAAACAAATAGATGTTGGTTTGATATAAATAATAAAATTTATATATATAATAATATAATTTATAATATAATTTAATCGGTTTGACCTAACGTGTGTACTGATGAAGACTATTAATCGAAACGTGAACTAAACGATTGTCATCTAATATATTTTATTATTTATATTAAACCAACGTCTATTTGTTTTGCTCGAAAATTGCCCATGTAACCATCATATTTCAAACAACTATTGTTTGCAAAATCCACTTTTCTCGTATCTTTTGATTTTATAGTCCTGAACATTTATTTTCGAATTGCCGAATATCAGGGGATTTAATTATTTAACAAAGATTCTTTCGAATTTTAATTACAGTATATATCTATACAAATATATATATATATATATATATATATAATACATACAAAATTAGTGGAAATTAACTGCGTCGACAAACAGCGTTCGGTTTTGCAGGAAATTGACACTCTTCGGCCGGTTGGCTCGAACTCCAATGAATTTGAAGGTATCTACGCACTTCCCCTCGCACACCAATGTACACTTTCAGCTCGGAATCGTTCCGAAAACAATCACTCGACTGCCGCGCAAATAGTAGCGCTGGTCTCTTTGGGGGCTTATTTGCCTATGCAAATCGTCAATCAACGGTGTTTCCCCGCGGTCCCCTTTATCTCCCGGCATTCGTTTCAAGGCGAGAGGGGGTACACGGTTCACTTGCGAGACGAGAAAGAAATGTAAATCGTCTAAACACCATCGTTAACGTGAACGATCCTGCACATCGAATGAACTCGACTTCGTGTTTATTTTTAATTCTTCGTTTACGTGCCGGGGCCCTTCTCACGATTTCTCCAGCGAACTCGAAAAAAACCTACCATTTCGCTTGTCCGTTTTTTTTCCCCCCACTGAATTTCTCCTGCGTTTCGCTCGCGCAACGCCCTTTACTTCAAACGGTAGTGCATTTTTCACGTCAAAGCGCGTTTTTCATACGCACGTGACCGGGAGCGCAAAAACAGACTGGAAATGCGCTCGTGGCTGCCCGCGCGCGTTTTCCAAGTATTGTCGTCGGAGACCGCGACAAAGGCTGAAATTACAATTTAAGCTCGGCGCTGGAACGGCGCGGAAAAGTGTGTCCCGGGAGATAATTCGAGCTCGAGATAATAGCATTTTCGTCCTGTTCCGCTTGTGAACAACGGTGCCTTTTAACGTGGATAAACAGATCAAGTGCCTGACAAATTCTATGGCCTTAATGTGAGCGATGAAAAAATTTGTCTGGCGAACGGGGACATGTCGCGTATTTTTCATATGATAATTTACGTTCATGTTAGGATTAAAATAAAAAAATGAAAAACGAGCGAGACAGAGGGAGAAAGAGGGAGGGGAAGGAGAGGAGCGAGAATGATTAAATTCGTACTTATTAAATGGTATCGGTATACCTATCATCGGGCGTATCTTTCGATTAATTCGCGATATTTGCGCGGGATTCTCATTGTGCGCGATAGATCCGCGGATTTTGAATATCGCATTAGCGCGCGGTATCTCGCGAATCTAATTCCGAAGCCACGAAACGGCACGGTTTCGCAGTCGCGAACGCCGTTAGCAGAACTCTATTCATTAGCGATGAGGAAAGTGGATTAAGCATCGGCTGTCTCGAACTTATAAAGGACACTGTCTCTTGCGGTGTAATACGCGCAACGGAATCCTATTTCGGATACGGAGCGCCATTGTTAGGGCGAAATTATTTCAATGCGAGTTATACGTCACTCTGTTATACTTGTCCGTCAAATGTATAAACGAATTACAAAAAAAGAAAGAATTTATTTTCCCGTTGAATTGCGAGAGCGTTCGGTTTTGCGTAAATAAGTCCTTCTCTATTTTAGTTCGTCCACCTTGTGCAAAGTTAACGCTTGCGGGCGGTAAAAGTTGACGTTTCTACATACGTAACTTTAGTAGCTTTAGTTTCGCTGCCTTCCATCCCCAAGGTGTAACAATATTATCTTTGCACGTCATTTCAATTGGCGCGGTCACATGTAGTTTAAAATGATAGGAATTTGGTCGCTTTGCGATTCTCCGCTTTGTTCTGCCATTAATTAGTTCCGCGCGCTTTGGGCGGAATTGAATGTCAAATTACAAATCAACTGACTTAAAGCCAACGTTGGGAGAGTTGATGAAGCAAGATTAGAGTCGCTAAAATTAAATCGTAAAGCCACTAACATTCGTTTTCCGATGACGTTTTAGTTTTAGCACGCATATAATGTATATCGTGAACGGGGAGTCAATCGTGATATCGACACGATATACGATTCCGTTAATTGGTCGTTTGCGTTTTCGACAAGCGCGGAGGCGCATTTTTAATTAGTTTTCTGCCTCCGTATCGACGGCCAAGAGCCGTCGTGTGTTTGCGTTTCCGCTGCCTTGGATATATAAGAGACGGTGCGCCAGCAAATATTTGCGCGAACGTTGATGAAAATATGTGGCATTTGAATAAGGTGACTGGCGAGAAAGACAAGCGCGTCGGCGCGTTGCGTCGCCTCTTGTAATAACGAAATATTGCCGGAACGACGTTGTCCGGCTAAAATTTAATATATAACATTCTCCCTGCCTGTTATTCGCGCTTGATTACCAAACTGTTCTTTTTTCCTTTTTCATTAATTTCGCGCTCGCTATTTCAGTTTTCACGAGCTTGCAAACGCGACACACATATAATATGTTAATAATAATGTTTGAAAAACTCCAGTTAATATGAATGAATAAAACACGCGTCTGCAACAATTTACGTTATGTATTAATTACAGTGTTGACTAGATTCTTTTCGCCTAAGGGAAAGTGTAAGTTACCGGAATGCATCACTGAAACGTCGACAGTTTTACTTATCTCGCTGCGTCACGTTGAGATTTGCGGAAGACGAAAGCCGTACAATAATCCACGTAGAGTCCCCAGATCTCGCGGATTTACATGGCTGTTAGCACTTTTCATCCTTAAGAGAGGCACGACGATATGGTCTCGTCGGCGCGGCGCGGTGGTGGTGCTCCGAGGGCGAGACGGCGGCACCGTGTTTGTCTTCGTTTCATCGTTGCATAATCATTGCTCGAGAGGACGTCTGAGCCTCTCTTTCTCTTTCCTTCCCTCTCTCGTCTCGCCTCGCCGTCGTCTCTCACTCTCGCTCGCGCTCTCCTTCGCGGCGGCGAGCACCTCCCGCGATACATCCGGAAACGGAATGGAAAACGGAAAGAAGACAAACAGCGGTTGCCTAGGGCGGATGATTAATTTCCCCGAGCGCGCACTCGCGCGCTCCAGGTATACCCGGGAAAACTGGGAGCTGCATATTTTATATGCGCGTTAACTCGTCGCGTGGCGAACTTAATTTCCAGCGAATTTCATTATGCCTTTCGTTTATTAGAGCTCCCTTTAATGCAACAGCCGCGACGGCACCGACCGTCGGGGACTTTTGATGACGTTAATCTCGGCGGTAATTGCAGACGGAAACGCGAATGACTCTCGGGGGCGGTCATGGATATGTCTTCTAGTCATGATTTTGTGTTCACGTGAGGAACATTATAAAAATATGAGTGGTAGAAAACGGGGAAGATGATATTTTCGACCTATTAAAATACTATTTTATGTGTATTTAAATATAACGCGTATTTAATTGAAAACTTCGTAATTCGGATCAGTGAACGTAAGCTTGCTTCTGAATATTTATTTACACAGTTAAATTCAAAACATTTCTATTTATGTATTTTTTCGAAACTTTATCGATGCTATTAACAACCGTATCGTTCTCGTGCCGCGAGAGAGATAAGCGTTAGGTAATAAACGGAACAGCTTCGCCCCGTGTTTATTATCATCGTTACTTTTTACCGGCGCGGGTAAAAGTAGCTTCTGCGAAAAGTGCATCGAACTTCAAATATCTTAAACCACAAAAAAAAATAACGAATCGTATATGTTCTGTCTATATTTTTCTACATTCATATTTGATGCATTCATATTTTCTCGCGCATACGTTTATACGTTTGGCGCTTTTAAATAACACATAATATTATATCAACTACAACAGTGAAAATGTATTTCACGAGATAAATATTTTTTATAATTTCGTGTATTAAACAAAAGCTACATCTATTTATTTATATTCGTGTATTTTTCTCTTTGCATTTATACCGCAGGCAGTTTTGACATATAATTTGAACTTTATTGGTTTAAACCGCCCGTGTGGAAAAATCGTTTAACAATATGTGCGATAAGATGCGCGGAAATAATTTGCTCGATAACAGCTCATAATTTATGTGATTTATCGTATGTTTGCTGTACAATGTATCCTCTCGAGCGTAGATAGGATAATTTTGTTCATATGTAGAAGTAAATTATTGCTAATGATGCAAACTGAACTGATAATCTACGATTGATCGCGTTACTGGTAGGTACGTCCTCCTCCGGTTCGCTGACAAACACGTCGTTCATCGATTCCGTCGATTCGTTGGGCATCAACTTCTCCCAGAATTCCATTCTGTTAGACAGGAAATCGGTTTGGACCACAGTTTCCGGCGATTTGTCAATCCCGAATCTCATGAACTCGTGATGATCGTGGTAGCTGGGCCACGCGGGGATCATCCACGCTTTCGGGATCCTGTATATGTAATAAACATCACGATCAGTAAGAACATCCGGTCGTCGCTGTAGAACGAAATTTCCTAGCGATTTAGTATTCCGATCGGCTTTGAATGGATGACGCGCGATCATGCGACATGATGCCATCGCAAACGGAAATAGAACGTGACGTACAGAAATAGAACGCTCGAAGAATTTTCATTTTAGAGAAATTATACAATTAAAATAATTATTAAATTTTTAGGATCTGTTGGCGCTCTACAGATTTTCTCGATACACAGTAAAAAATAAGACGTAATTATAAGGTTTTTTACATGTCCCAGAAAGTTCACTCTAATTTTAAGTTAAAATGACTCATTCATTGTGTGCTACTTGTTGACAAATTAGAAATGTTAATTAATTGACACGATTTTTTACTGTGTAACGCTTACCCAGATAGCAAGGCGAACTGAAAGAGAATTCTTTTTAAATTTCCGATTTATGAAATAAATTCTTTCTCCGTGTCATTTCTGTTCTAAAATGACTCTTAAGGCCCTTGCACAATGCCAGGCAACGGATAATAGAAACAGAGAATAGGAACAGAATATCCGACGCGTTGGATCTCTATTCTCTATTGCCTGCACCTGACCAATCACAGTGATTTAATTTTATATGGCGCTTTTAGTGATTGGTCAGGTATAGGCAATAGAGAATAGAGATCCAAAGCATCGGAAATTCTGTTCCTATTGCCTGTTGCCTGGCATTGTGCAAGGGTCTTTAAGCGTTCAAAAGAAATTCATTTTTATGTCATCAATTCTGCTTCTTCACATACAAAGAAATTTTTTTTCTACTCTTTAAGAATTCGAAATAAATTCGGTATTATGCTTAGATACTGTTCCAATAGAGCTTTATCGGAGCGCTATTTTGTATCTGAAGAAGAATAAGAAAGAATTCTTCATGATTTATCCAAAAAAGATTTATCAGAAATCTTCTGATCCAGTTCTGATCAGAAAGAACATAAAATGTATTAGTGCATTTTGCCATCTCTGCACTGTATATGATATCTCTCTCGAAGGTATCACGAAAAATATTAGAGTCAAGTGTCTCACAGGCTCTCGCCTTTTATCCTGGCGCATGAGGATTTTTGGTTACAAGAAGGTACTGGCGCACGTAGCCGCGTTGCAGCAGCGCACGTTACTAGCGTTCGCAGTTTCTTTTAAATATCAAAAAGGGATTCTTTTTCAATTCATTTCGAACAAATTACGCGAATTCATAAAAAAATTTGAAAAGGTAAATCCTTTTTTGAGTTCATAACGATTGCCTGTGCTATCTGAGTAGATTTATACGCAAAAAGATTAAATGTTACATCTTCCATGAAGATATTTAAATAATAACAATAATTATTACGTAATAATATAACGTAATGCAATTAATTATATTTACCCTTTTATCGCGAAACTCGTCCACATCTCTGTTAGGATATTAATCATAGTAATATCGTTCTCCGTATTGTGCAGCAACAAATTGCGATACTTATTATTCAGTGTGGGAAATAAGTAGTTTAAATCGTCACCATGGGAAACACCTGGAGGAATAGACTTTTAATTTCGTAAGTGCCTTATAGCGAATTCGGTTGGATGCACACAAATCAACGTGAAGTGTAATATGTTTAATATAAACGAGTTAAATCACGAAATCCTCAATCTTTTTTATTATGCTATTTGGTAAAATATATTAGGCATTTTATCAGTCGAGATATTTGCAGTTTAATTTAAATATTAGAATAAGTGTACAACGGCTTTAATACGCACTATATAGTGTGTCCAACCGAATTCGTTATTAGAAACGCTTAACTTTCGGGTGTTGATATAAAACCGAAAAGGCGATATAAAGATCTGCGAATAAAAACTTTCTCAGATTTGTCTTTATTATATTGATTTTCGAATAGCTTTATCCAACATAATGATTTTTATTAGCTACATCTAAAGTATCTAGAAGCACAGAACTAGAAGAGAAATATTATCGTGTTGAAATCGATACTTCTAATCATTTATCTTGCCTACTAATGAGAGGAGATAAAGTTCAGACTCCGAGAGATCTTGTTAAGAGTTAATCTAAACCGTTTATTCTCTGATGTTATGGAAATTGCTGTAACAGATGACATACCATAATATTTCGACGTGTCCAAACTGAAGGTATTCGAAAACGTGCCTTCATACGTGAAGTAGGAAAAATAAATGCTGGAATTTCCTATTCTCGACTGATATTGTAGAGCTTGAAACATCGGCCATGTTAATGCGCTATCACCCATCATCTGGAGAAAATTTGATCTTGTTGTCAAACGTTACCTACACATTCATCCGCGAACTCACCTCCGTAATGTTATTTATCCGTCGTTGCCTGTCCGAGATACCCGACACATTTCCATTAAAGTAAAAATCCTGTAACGCGGAAACGAAAGCGCTACGATTGGTAATCGCTTCATGATTCTCCATGAAGTAGGGCGAATATTCTTCAAAATTCTTCGTCAGTTCGTCCTCGGCCGTAGCATTTGTGAATAATTCTGAAAAGAATACGAACGTGGACGCGAATGCCGTCGAGATTTTTTTCGCGGCGTCGAAATTTAGTTAAAAATTTAGTAATAATTTCTTTATTAACGTCAAATTAGTATCTTCTGAAAGTATATGTAAAATGAGACTTTTAACTTTATTTAATGTAAGATTAATTAATGTAATAGTATGAATTGTAACTACATTTCTTTCATCTGAGAAAATTATCCGACGCTGTTAATTAATTTGCGCGACGACTTTACATTAAATATTATTAAATATTATTAAGACAAGTGTAACGTTTTAGAGCAATCGATGATATTAATTAATATATATGTATATAAAAGCCTGCTTTATCATAATAATAAAGGTTATATAATACAATGAGAAAGTGGTTACAGGCCAAGATTAATAAAAGAGTATCTAATGTGTAAGGGACTAATAATAATATGAAAAACTACCGCCAACACAACCTACAACAAAGATTATAGGGAAAATTACCGATTGACTTTACTAAACCCTCATCCTTGACGACTTGAAATATCGCCGGTATATCGCGAAACAGTCCGTTCTTCACTATTTTCAATGGATGCATCGTCAGGATAGCGTCCTCCGAGTCATCCTCCAATGTGGGGCCAAAGTTATAAGCTGGATGATTTCTCCAAACAGTCTGACACAAAGTAATGTAAAACTACCGTAATTGGATATATACCGACGTTTTTATAACTCCACTAATGGCACTTACGAAATGTTGCGTCATGTTCACTACTCTTCTCGCATCGGCCATTCTCATGCATCTCATTATTTCCTCGTCATCTTTCACTTCGTAGTCCGAAGTGTCGCCGTAGGCGCTCGTACTTACATCTTCTTCTTTCGGATTTTCGGTGGTCGTTTCATTCGACGCGATTACGTCATTGTCTTTTTTTTTCAGCTGGCAGCCGACGAGTTTCGCCAATTTCAAACACACTCGTCTATACCTTCTTCGAGGGTGAACACTCCATGTACTTAAAGCAGAACCGCTCTGCAAAATGTACCTGTTAAAGAGCCCTTCGGTTTTATTTGAGAGAGCGAGAATATGAGTGGCCGCTGAACCGGCACTTTGCCCCATAAGGGTCACCGACTTGGGATCCCCTTCGAAGTTATGAATATTTTCTTGTATCCATTCGAGGGCCATCTTTATATCTTTAACGCCGTAATTACCCGGCGAGACTTGGTTCGTTGTGCTAAAAAACCCTAAGTGATTAAAAAAGAACCCTGTGACTCGTTATCGCGTTATTGTATATTAATAAGACCTATATCGCCTGATTAAATACGCTTCAATTTGCAATACGTCTAACGCATTATTATAAAGAAAAAGTCGACTGATCGATAATTCTTTTTTCCTCACCTAAAGCAGAAAGTCGGTAATTCATCGTGACGAGAATTATATCCTGATCCATCAAATAATCCATCCCGTACAATTTGCTGTTGCTATTTCCCACCATAAATCCACCCGGGTGGACGAAGACCAAAACCGGTAGGTTCTTGGATTTCTGCTGTCTGTCTGAAATCTACGAAGACTTTTGATAAAATTACAAAGTGACACAAAATTGTTATATATAAACGAACGGAGGAACGAAATATTTAATAAATGTTGCGTTAAACTTTCAACGTAAAAACCGCAGAATGTCGCAATAACAATGTAACCTTGATCCGTTTAGATTTAATTAAGCTTGTTAAGCCATTACATGAGCCGTTAGACCTCGCAGTCTAATTGAGTTCATTCTTGGAACATTGTAACTTTCTATTTGCTTTGACACTTTTGGCAGAACTATAAAAATAACGCGCGACGCTGATTGTTTATTTGATTACGAGACTATCTCCATTCACAGGGCTTTATTATTGGATTGTCTTTATTATTGTTATACGTATTCCAATTATTGTGATTGATATCTAGCGATAATATTTGTGTATAACTGTAATTGCATCACTCACATAGGGAACGTAGACATTCAGATAGAGGCAGTCCTCACTGCCAACAACTTTGCCTTCCTTAGAAAGTTGCATACATTGTGACCCATCGACCGTAGCGTCGCGAATTGTCGTCCACATGCGATTCCATCGTTGCGGGTTCTTTCAAAAAATTATATAACTATTCATTATGTAATCATTCATTATATAATCTAATTATTTTAATTAGATTAGAGCTCAATTTAGACGTATTTTAGTTAAGATGTAGGTAGATGCAACTGAAATTTTTATATACAATTCAATTACAATTTTTATTTGCTAAAAAAATCATCGGATTTCTTTGAAATCTTTGCAAGAATCAAATGTAATCAGATGAGTTAACCCTTACATATTATTATCGAGGCATGTATAAAAGAAAGAGTGATAAGCGCACGTGTATAAATAACTACGCACTCTGAATCTTAATTCGCCTAGCGGGGGTAGAGCGTACGGTATCCCAAGAAAACTCGCGACTCTCCGATCACGCACGGTTTTGGTCCACTTGCCGCGGACGAAGCCCCATTTCGTATTGACGAGAAGTTCTTTGGACTCGATGAACAAGCCGTCGGCCAGGACGAGCAGGGACACGAGGACGCACATGCATTGCCAAAAAATCCTTACGTCTAACCGAAGACGCAGTGTCGACATAGCGCAGCGCATGCGAGAGATTCACGTTGCCGTATATCTTTGTCGCGTGGGATCGCGCGCGGATAACGTACATAAAACGACTGAAATGCAGCACAACTTTATATGCACAACTGTGAAATGCGTTATCGCGAGCTGTCACGTGACATTTACGTCACGTTTAATTTTTATGAATGTGACGAATTAGTGCTGAGCCGAGCTGAGCCGAACTATTTTACAATGTTGTTCAAGTTTACGAAATTTATGAGATCAAGATATCTTGGAACATTTTGACATAAGGATTTAACATGACCCTAATCTCCGCACACTCTGTAAATATTATTTAGAAAATATTGAATATATAAAATATATAAATAATATATGAATAAATATAAAAATATAAATATATAAATATATAAATAATAATAAATAATGAGTTTAAGAAAATAAAACGCGCGACGCTGTTATAAATGTACCAATAAATTTAGATAACGATTTGTATGTTATCCAAAGAAACTTGACATGTTTAAAAAGTTGACAAGTTTTTTACTTTGAAGTTTAATCGCCTCGCGCACACATACACACACACACACACACACACTTTCAAACTGTTATCGTAATACCTATATAATTAGGTATTTAAGATGACGTTGTAAATTGCTTAAGTCGTCAAGAGCATATTCCAAATTCGTGTCAAATCGTTAAATGTGAATTGATAAAACTGCAAAAAAATATATATTATACATAACATTAATTAAATTATAATTTAATTATTTTTTTCACGTATTTGTTTCTCGAAAAGTTGGAAGATAGGTATATGTTTTTCGTAGGAAGTGATTGAATATTCCGTCCTCGCCCCACCGTCTTTACATCATTTATTCACCAGAAGGATCTCTATCAACCGTGACGTATTATTAAGCGAGGGGTAATGCGGCTTTTGGCGGAGCTTAGCTACATACTGCACATTATTATAGATGAGCAACTTAACCCGGGTTACTCTTAACCATTCCATTATTCAACACGGTGCATTTTAGCTCTCCGCCATGGTACTACATACTTCACAATGTCAACAATCGCGCAGGGTTATTTGAAACTGGAAATGCCGACCATTTCGCAAAAGCCATCTTAACGACGAAGTAAAATTACTTCGAAAAATACATATATCAAGGATTTCAAGCAAAAAGGAAATCTATAGTCGAAGCATTAACGCAATAATAATGTATCTTTTTAAGAACTTCGTAAAAACCGGAAAAATGCAAATTTATTTTTTTTTTAATTTCTTGACATTAATTTTCTTAAGAAAGTGTGTGAGATCATTGTTTTAATTCTAATTCATTCTGTTTTGGAGCACGAATATTTTTCGACACTCTTGCAAGAACGGAATTATTTTAAATGACGCCGATTTTATTTCTAAACTCGGAGTAAAATAATTGTTTCAAAAAATACATATATAAAGAATTTTAAGCAGAAAAGAAATCAGTCGAAGAATTAACGCAATAATAATGCATCTTTTTAAGAACTTCGGAAAAAAACGACGCAAATCTATAATTTTCCTAATTTTCTGATATTAGTTTTCTTAATTTATTCAGTTTTGGAGTTAACAAGCACTAATATTTTCCGACGCTGCTGCAAGAGCGGAATTATCTTAAATGACGTCGATTTTTTTTTTCAAAACCCGAAACGCCGCGCGAAACGGGCCTTTGAAAGACGATCGTTCTTTATTTATCTCAAGTCGAGCGACCGTCTAATTTCATTCGGGTTTCACCGGCGCTCTTACCGCATCCCGTGGGTTTTCTTCTCGATTTTCTACGTCGACCGTCGCCGCCGCCACTGCCGCCACCGCCACACCGCCACCGCCACTACCTCCGCTGCCGCGGTGGAGGATCCGCTTCCGCCGGTGCTTCGGGTCCTAACAATTTCCTGACAAGGGGTTTCCCACGGGAGTTTCCGGTCCGTTTCCGCACGAAATCTCCACGGCACCTTCACTCGTTACGCGTCGTTTGCTGAGCCGTTTATCTCCTCGTCATTAGTTATGCCGTGTTACTTGGCCGCAGATTCACGCCGATCGCAGTCTTTCGCTCCCTCCTTCGCGATCTCCATCTTTCCTTCCGTTTCGATCTCGTATCTAGCACGAATCACGATAGCAATTGTGATAAAAATCTCGCTTATAATCAGGATTGGGCAGATACGTATCTTAAAGTATCTGAGATACGTATTTAGATATGTATCTATCCTCCTATCTAAAAAAAGGCATGTTAAATTGATACTCGCATCTCTCGAAGTCTTCTCGAAAATCTCGAAGTTAAATTGTTGGCTCTTTTGCGCGATGCTAATTGGTTCTATCGCTGCGCTAACTTCGTGAGCGGCTGTCTTGGCCTATTTTGACAGTTGTGTGCATCAGTTGTATAAAGCTAAATAGCGCGCGCGTAGCGCGCGTCTGTGATGTCTAATTATTTAAAAAATAAACGCAAAGAATAATTGTATTTAAAGTATTTATAAATGTATTTAAGTCAGAAAAGTATCTTGTATCTTGTATTTAAGTACTTTGCTTCGAAGTATCTGCCCAATTGATTGAGGAGAATCGTATTTGGATCTATCAAGTAATTGAGTGATTGCATTCTAAAAACGATCAATCCTTATACATATAGTTTATTTGTTCGCGAAATAAATTTAAGCGATATAAATAGAAATCTACTGATGGGCTATCCGTGACAGTATCGGAGCATATCTATGTTAATAAAAAGTAAAAACTATCAGCATATCATATGAACAGATGTCAACATCTCATTAAAGCGCTATCAGCACGTTCTGTCGTATTATCTATTATCGCGAGTTTAAGTATTACATGCAATTAGCATGCACATAGCATTGTAGGCAAACTTGATAGAATAAGAACAGATAATGAGGGCGCGTGAGGAATTACCAAATCGTTGAGTTAAGTAACATACTATACTTGTAATGTAAAATGTTAAAATTTTAATTGGATATATATATATATATATAATATACACTTAGCGTTACATAGCGTTGCGCGAACAAAAGTCTTTAGGAGTGAACGTAATAACATGCGAACGAAAATGCTATAACATGCGAGCAAATTAACTGATAACTTATTCACAACTGGCACTAAGGACGCAAAATTCTAATTTTTTACTATTTTACGGTTTTCAAGAACCATGCGAACATGTCAAAGACATGGTCGACGCGTTTTAACGGACACAATAATGATCAGCTGTTTTGCTCACACGTAGAGATCTCGCAAACAGGTCTTTTCTCGTATATCAAAAGATATTTCTAGGAGAGCGTGGAAACAAAGGAAATCAAACGATTTTCCTGTTTAACGATAAAAGCTGTTAAGCGCTATATAATAAGCATAATTAGTATCAGTACTCTTACATAAGTATATGTTGTCGAACAAGCGTGTAAAATACAATCTGTTTCTGTGCGAATTAGTTACATAATTTAGTTTTTTTTAATTTAATACAATTTGCTTTTATTTATCTATATTTTATTTATATGTACGATCATGTTTTAGAAAAATAAAAAAAATAACGCCTAAACACTTGTCAATCTTTTATCTAATTGGGATTGATTTCCCCGGAATGCTAAAGACGACAGAAAGTAAGGATTAATTCGGTACTCGCTCGCGTAATGGCGGGCTTGGAGTAGCGCGAGGGGTCGGATCGAGTAGAACGTCAATATGATTTAATATCGGCTATTTCCATGTCCATGTGCGCGTAGGAGCACGTCGTGTTTGATTAAAGGCGAACGCCGCGCCGGATTATGCATTCGTCTATTTGTCACGTCGTGGACTAATTGCAGTACGCGGTGCAGTCATGCATCACGACGGCAAGAACTGTCCGGAAATAGCGTGGCGTTCTCGCATCGGTATGCGGACCAATTTCCCCCATTCTTGACGATGTCGCCAAAGTTCGTCACGATTACTTTGTACAACCAATTTTCCCAGCTGGCGCACGCGTCGAGCGACATGTCATGCTCCGCTATTAACATCGTCGAATGTACAATTACATCCTCTATACGTATACAATTATAAACCCCGTTGAAATCGTTTAACGTTTGTATGATTAATAACTATGGTCGTTAAACGTTTTCATATTACGTTGTCATTTCCATTCCTTTAAATCTGTAATTCCGTTTAAATCGGAACGTCCTGTGTGTAAGCTGGAAGTGTTTTGTCAATACCGCGTCGCGTTATTAAATAAAGAGAGGTATACGTGACTTTGATCACACACGTGAGTGCATTATAATAATGAAACGTAAACCGAGAGTGCTTTTCCAAGAGCGTATAATGCTGTGTGACCCGTGAGCGGGCAAGACAATGGGAAAGCGCGCGCGCGCTCGCGCGGTTTTTGTCGCGACCCGTGCACGATAAGTCTCGCGGGATGACACATTTGCATAACGAGATGATTTTCAGAGACGAGGCAGCCACAAGGTTTTCCGCGGCGTGTGCGATGTCGTCGTCGCGTCAATTTAGCGGAGTAGGTATGCCAAGCTGCAGCGACAATTTGTCAACCGTCGCGATATTCGGCACGGCACGCGGCGCGGCGGTGCGGCGTAAATATTTTCAGTTTTACGCGTTCGCGCGGCGACGACGGCGACTTTTGTCGTGGCTAACGCATATCGCGTTACGTCGATAATGTTGAATTTAATGTAAACGTCATTATGCGCGGCGCTCCCGTATGGGTGCAGAGCGATTACACAGCGAGAAAACGAATTTACCACCGACGCGAAATTATATTGTAACGCGTTACCGGAGGGGATAAATGCAGGACGTGCATTAAATGTCGCGAAACGATGAATTAACCGACGCGAATGGTCGCCACCGTGAAATTATTAATCGCGATATTATTTATCGGCGCTCAAATTAGCTCTGTAGCCGTCTCCTGTATTTGCACGACGGCATTATTACTACGTGCCATGAGGCTGGAATTATTATTTTTTTTCTTTTGCTGTCGCGGTTTTATCTTCGTTTAACGTTGTCGTTGAAAAGCGCGCGTATATATATCTGTAAAGGAATTACGAACAAAGGGAAAATGAGAGCGCTTGGCCAAATGAGAAAAACAAGACCGTACTACGTCTTGTTTTTTTCATCCTTTTTACGCTTTA